TGCCAGCAACCTTCAACACATGGGTGCATGGTGGTTTGCATGTGCAAATTGAAATGTCCACACGGATACATGCATGTGTAAAAACAGCTCAGGACTATCAACATTAATTACATTTCTTCCAGTACCAGTCAGGAAGGGTAACCTATTTTGCAAGAAGGCTACAGATACTTTGTGTTGTCTGTGTTATGTGCACAGCTCTTTCAGCTCTGTATTTTGGATGATACTTCAATAATTTGAGCTCACAAATTTGGCTAACAATGCAGGCGGTTGGTGGCTGTGGGTTTTTGTGTTAATTTGATGGCCACACCAACCCTGGATTCAATAATGTGTTGCAATATTTATCTATGAATAGGGATACAAAGGAAAATAAAGGGAGTGAGCCAAATTCAAATTTACAGCTCCACTTACCGAACAATTTATAACACAGCTGGGATCCTGCTGTTTTGTCTGTCATTATGTGCACAACTACAATAATATTTTATCAGAAAAATTCAGCTTATACTCAATGCCATATAAAGTCCACTGGCTAATATGACACACATACAGTCTCACCACCACAGTGGACTGTCCATAAAGAACATTTAAACTTTGCAGAATCATGCTACCATTTCACCATCCATGACCAAGGTAGGAATATGATCAATGTTTCCACAAAAGTGACTCAATCCTTTTGTGTAGCAACAAAATAAACAACATTATGTGTACAATAAACACATGTACTACAAAATACGGCACCTTCTGAAACGGATTCTGAACGTTATTTAACAGGTGGGAGAAAAGAGCAACATTAAATTCATTACAATAAAGGCTCGAAGGCACAATGTCTTGGGTGAAAAAAGAATTCATTAAGTCCTAAATTTTTGGGAAAAAAAGGAAAAAAAAAGAAAAAAAGTCAGATATTAAGAGCTTCATAAGGTAAATTACAGCGAAAGAGGATCAAGTCGGTGCTCTGCCTCCCTCATGGACAAGGTAAGGTGCCCTGATTTTAGGGCTTTTGTTGCACTGAATGGGTTATATACAGTAATTTGAAAAGAAAAGCAATGATTAAAGCTTTAAACTGATTTGAAAATGAGTGCCTGAAGATTTCAGAACTGCAATACTCTTTACAATTTGAAAGCCATGAAATCAAAACAGTGAGGAGACAATAAGGGAGTCATAAGTGTCATTCCAAAGCCAGGCTCAATGTCTGAGCTTGTGAGTTTACACAGAACTAGAGGTCTAGCTGCTGTCTACATTTTTCCTCCTTTTGTGAAGGGACTATTTTGAAAATCCTTCTAGAGAACACAAATGTATATAATGCTGTCAAAGAAAATGAATGCCTTAAAAAGATTCCCCTTGTACATGTGAAGGGTACGAATCCTTCAGCAGTCAAAATTTGGAATGGAAACAATTCCTTAGGACTGATTTCTAAAAATTGGAAGTTATTTAGGGTAGAGTTTGTGAGGAAAAAGAACAAACAGATTATGAGTGTAATAAAGCCCTTGCATGCATTGATATTTTTTACTGAACCAGTACTACATGGTAGTGATTATGTTTTGCTTTAAACTATTGTGTAAGGCCCTGCAGAGCAAAACTAACTAAAGCGTCCAGTCTGGATTTCTTCCAGTACAATTAAAATAGTCAGGGAGCCTTTTTCATGCCTTTTGTAGATATAGTTATGCAGCCTGATTTTTTTTTCTGTAGGGAGAGCTTTAATTTAATTTAGAGACTTTCCATGGGAAGTCTTCAACATGATGTAGAAATGAAGACATCTTCCCTAGAGCCCAATTTTCAGTGTTGGTCACACGTGTTTGCACTGGAGAAGGAAGTTATTGTTCTTATACCTGTTTATGAAATAGCAGCAGCTTAGCCACAGACATAAAAATTACCTGAGCATGCCCTGGCACACCCAAAAGAGTTCCCAAAATTATCACTGTGCTAACATGGCTTGAAAGGAAACATGGGTGTTTTTATGAAGTGACCAAGCATCTATGATAAATTTGTGAGCCAATCAAGCAGTCTTTTGTGGCAAACCATGCAAGGAATGGTGTTGCTGTAACAAAACCAAACAAGAATAAAGTTTCCCCTGTAAGTTCTAGTTAGCAATACAAGTGGCACCACATTCTGTGCCATGGTGTGTTTGCCTTGGCCCAGCAAATTGCCCTTGAAATGAACTCCCTGCTAACAGAGAGCTGTGCTACAGCAACTGTTCTGCTTTCTGCCCTCTGTGATTAGGGACTGCAGCTAGGACAAATGAGAAATGAAGCCATAAGAAAAGGGAATTAAAACTCTGTTTCAGAGCTACTTTTGAGCAAGCTTAGTTTAGCATTTCTTTCCTCCCATATAGTACATATTCCACAACAATTTTGAAAACAGTATAATTTAAAAGTTAACATTTGCTTAGCTGGTAGCAGCAGATAAAAGCTCTCATTTGCAGTGAGCAGGCGAATTTGTTATTTCCCCAGTCAATAGCTATTGACCTGGTACACCCCTTCTGCTTATTACAACCAAATCCTTTTTCTTTTTTCTTCAATAGTCAATGACACTGTAATGGAAGGCACTGCTTACAAACTGATGCAATATCTATCAGCAAGAGCTAGAAGTTAATGACTAATGGTTACACAGAGGAAAGCATGTGCTAAGAACAGCAATACACATCTATTAATCAAATGTACTACATCTGATATGCCTTTATAGCTTAGTGGAACTGCGCTGCACATCAGATAAATAGTTCTGTTGTTATTAATCTAGGTCTCAGCACAAAACACCTTTTATTCATGCTATCAGTAAATAAATAATTTGGCTAGACAAAGTTTTGTCTGACTTTCAGAGCACACCTTTCAGTAATAAGAAATTTGGATTCTGCAGTCCTACACTTAGTACTTTGGCAAGGCAACTGCTCCAAGCTGAAATCATATTATTCTCTAAATACCCCAGATGGGGCAATATAAATGCAAGGCAACACTCTAAAGACAAAAAGGGAAGAGCAGAGTGCATTTGTCCATGGCTCAGCCTGCTTCAGGCTCCTTCCCTGTGGCAGAGCAGTGCTGCACAACCCCGTCCTTTACGATTTCTGTAACTTGCACTTACTGTGCCTGGGGGTGAACTTTGCTTGTAATTCATTTAGCCTATTTTAATTTCATAATTATGGCTGCATAATTGTTTTTTTTTTTTTTAATCCTGCCTGACACCAAAGTAAATTCTTTCAAAGTCCCACTACTTATTTTATATCTGAGAGATGTATATTTTTAGACAACAGTGTGACTGTAAGAGTAACAACCCATATTTTTATGCTACCTTCAAACAAATATTACAAAACACTAATGAAGTTTTTTGACTCTTTGGTGAAAGCAGAACTGCTACTGATAACTTTTTGGCTTACAGTTCTCTATAATCCTTCCTGTAGAACACCTAACACTCTAATATTGGAGCACTGATTTATCTGTTTTTTCTCTTTTCTGAATGCTACTTTGATTTCTCTCTAGACTGATGATGAGACATTACAGAAAGAAAAATGACAAATATAAAGACTAAACAATCATGCCGTTGCCAAGGACATTATTATACTGTACTCCCTAGGCACCATTTAATTGGATTGGACAATGCTCCTAAACCACATTATTTTGCCTTTTTCAGACGAGACACACCCTACAAGATCCACCATGAGGATCCCAACCAGACCTGTGATACTGATTCACAAACCACCCCTGCTGGTGAAGACTGGGGGAATTTAATTGCTGATATGCTCAGTGTGAAGCAAGAGCTAAATTCAATTAAGTTCCTACACTTTTACATCTCTTGACAAGATCTCCAGTGCTGCTCAGCCAGCATTTACTTGTGTTCCTGCTTGCTGTCACAGAGCTGTTACTGACAGGAGAGCACACTAAGCTCTGTCTTTCCTGTAATGCAATGGGCTTTGTTAGTCCACTAACTAAACATACCTAAAACCCAATAAATTTGTCCTTGCAATACTGTGTGAGGAAAGAAAAAGATCATCCTAATTTAGAACCACAGAGAGACAGATCTGAACATGGTCAAGTCATTCCACACACCTACTGAAATTCCATTCCAACCACATGAGTTCAGGAGCTAAACTTTCCTTTTTGTTCTTAATTTTCCAAACATACATTTTCATGTTGTAATGAGGTAAAAACAAGAAATATTCATAACATATTTGTTGTGTTTACTGTGATGATAAGAGGACAGTACATTATACACACAACGCTTCCCTTTAAAAGAAAAATGTAAGTTCTGCAAATTAGCAAACAACATGGCTTGGTTGAGACAATGATTGATTTCGAAAAGAATTTACCATCAGCTTTTTAATTCATTACTGAAAAAAGCTGTCATTGAGGAAATTACATGCATGTTAATTAGACTTCTTACTAGTTAAGTGATAACTGGAGTTTTCAGCCTCTCAGAAAAGTCCATAACACCACTAAACCTGCTGGATTTCAGAGGCAAGCTGCTCTATTAGCAGCTGCAACAATTATAAGGAGTAAAGCATTTCAAAGATTATTCTGGAATTTTAGTCAATCTTTGCAGTATAAAAAGCTACAGAGTTTATTTCTCCAAAATAGGAAATACATCTCTTCTGGTACCAAAATCAGTAAATCTCAATCAAATAAATAATAAGCACAATAAATAATGAGCACTTTTGCAGAAATACGATATTTTACAAGATGACTTGACTTCATTGTCAGCTCAGTCACACTTGTGGTTTTCTCCACTTGCCCATAGGCAAACTCTCCATTCTATTTTATAAGAACCTGTAGAGACTTCTCTTGAATGAAGGTAATTGTTATTAAAAAATAATAATGAAACATTTCAAATTGCAAACAGACAGGCTATGCACTTCCTATTATGGTCCCAAACTTTGCAGTATTGACTGTCAATGACTTGGAAGATTTCTGAGAACTGTAACCCATACTGAATGAGGAAATAATGTTAACTTCAATACTAAATGAGACAGAATGGGAAAGGCAGCATAAAACAATTAAGGAAAGGTATTAGTGACTTACTTTTTGTAACAACTCCTTCAAGGCGAATTATATTTGGGTGATCAAACTGTCCCATAATACTCGCCTCCCTCAGGAAATCTCTCCTCTGCCTGTCCATATAGCCACCCTTCAGAGTTTTTATGGCAACAGGGATCTCTCTTTTTCCTGGTGTCTTCAGACGTCCACTGCAAACTTCCCCAAACTCCCCTGAAACAGATCAAATACCTGTTAGCAACTCACAGTGCCTGTACAGAAGAATATTCGAGAACTCACACATCCCATAGAAGTGGACAGAGAAATAATGGGTTGAATGTTCAGATTCATGAGTGTCATCATATGCCAGAAAATCAAAATATTCAGCAGCACTTCATAAGAAATGATCACCTTTCCTCTGTGCCACAGCGGAGATCATGGGAGCTTGCACTGCAAAAGGCAAACCTTCAGCCCTCCCCACTGAGACTGAACATTGGTATCAACAGGTTTGGGACATATAACTGAGGAAGGAATGCAATGACACTTGGGTTTTTATTTCACTGATGACAAAATATCTATTGATAGAAATATTTATCTCTAGGAGTGAAATGCACTAAGACTTCTATGTTAAGAAAAGCCCTGAGACTATCAGAACACTTGACTATCCTTCAGCTACAGAAAGCATCTAAAAAGGACTTTAAGCTGTTATGACCTAGAAAAGCACTTGCAAGTGATTTATTTAAATGGAATTCCACACCTACTTGAAATTAATTATTTCCCTGTTCAGACAGCCAAAGGCCAACAGTCCCAGCAAAACTGGAGTTGTGCAGTGAGAGGAATCTCAAAACTTGTTTCCTCTGCTGTTTCCCTGTCTGTGTAGGGCCTGAGAAGGATGTGTGTCACCCTGAATTCTCCTTACACATTTAACAATTCAGTTTGCATGGAATCACAACTTTCCTTTGATCTTGAAGTCACACAGAAGTCATTTAGAGCCCCTACCAAACATACTTTTGGATGGCTGCAGGTCAGTTTTCAATGGGTCATGATTCAGTAAATGAAAACCAGAAATATTTCAAAGCATTTCTCAGCACAGGTTGCTTTCACAGCAAATCTAAATTTTTTACCCCATTCATTTTGGAATCAGAACTGCTAAAAACCAAAAAGCAAGTAATGAACAGATATATATTTAACTGGGGATTTAACACTCCATTGAGTGCTGTCTGTATTATTTTTCCCTAAACTTTAAGGATAGAAGTAAACAAAATAAAGGAGATCTATTCTGTAACAGTGCATCTTCAGATATGAAGCAAATCTAGAAGAAAGGTACATTAAAGGCACAACCTTCACCTCAGAAAATTATAACTCCCTGATGTTACAGGATTAGAATGGATATTATCACAAGACTTTTATTTTATTAGGTTCTTTTGCTTCCACTAAAACAAAGCAAAGTTTTACTACCTTTAGATCCAGGAAGAGTGAGATTAAAATAACAATTTCATAGCTTGTCTTTCATGTCAATGACAGAGGCATCCTCAAGTGCAGGAGTACAATTAACACATGCTGAACATAACCTCTGAATAAATTAGCAGCTTCCTAAACAGCTAAAAAAAAATCAACTGGTCCCAGGTCTTCTTTGTACACTTCCTCCCACCAACTTATTTTTACTTAATTTAAAAAAATAAATTAAAGATGTGTGCAAATATAAGATATGTGAAAGTATAAGTCATTAGAGTGATGCTCTGGGAATCTTGTTACAAAACAGGAAGTTGTGTGAGGATTTTCCTATATGATTTTGTCCCTTTCACCTTTAGAAGGCTCTCCTTAAAAGTTTTCTTGCCTGACTACTTGTACTGAAAAAGCAGTAGATAATTTGGACTTGTAAAGTGCTCCCATAAAAGGAAGTGATGAAACCTGAATGTTTTGCAGAAGACATGGTCTATCAATCTTCTGTTCTGTGACATGTTCAGCAGGACCTGAACACTTCTCTAAAGCCATGACCTTATTGCATCTTGCTGGTTTTTCAAGCTTAAATGTCTAAAATGAGAATTATTTTCCAATTTCTTTCTCTTGACGAAGCAGTGAAAAGCAAAAATACTAGAGCTTTAATATCAAGATTTTTAAAGAAATTCTGTGGCCAATAAATCTGCAGAACTGCAAAATCTCATTTTAAGACTAATTTGGAAAGCATAGGTTATAGAATAAACCATTTTGCTAATACAAGATTATACAAGAATATTACAGCTTCAGAATTTCATAAATAATGACATTAATCCCTCAGGGACTGTAAAAGGCTGTTACTAAGTGCTTTAAAATGAATTAAACTGAAGGAGGCAGCTGAACAACTTGCAATTCAAAGCTTTATTATCTGTACAACATCCAAAGCAGGGGAAGCAACCTCTGTTTCTTTCACTTTTTTTGGATGCATGATTTGGAAAGTTAGAAAGAAATCTCCCTCCTCTTGGATATTGGGATTGATAAACTGGTGAACATAATGACTACCAGCAGTTTTTTTGTGACATGATGTCAAACTTGAGATCATCAGCTACAGAACAGACAGAAACCTAAGGTGTATAATAACTTCTGCTTTAGAATAGATGGAGATCAATGGTAAAATTTAAAGCATTGAATTACTTACACCAAGACTTTGACAAGATTTCATCCCACAGTAGCTTTTCTACACTTCTGTTCAGATAAAGAATTTTCAATGTTTTTAAAGTCAAAAGGGGAATGGGTTCAACCAAAGGGGTTTTTCACATCTAAGAATCTCATTCTCAGTGCTCAAGTTTGAAGATAAACAGGATAAATGTTGACCCTGCAGCAGCTGAGGTTCATGACTGCATGTGTAATAAGTTGAAGCTAAGAGCCAGATGTCAATGAAGTCAACATTTTTCCTTGCTCCAGGGAAAAGGCTGATCACAACTAAAGAAAAAGATAGAGTCCACTGCCAGTTCAGTTTTAATAAAATGTAAATAATCTCTGGTTTAATAACAGAAACCTCACCCACCTTCCTGTATATTATACAAAAAGGAGCTAATTGAGCAGTCTAGAAATTTAATCTGTGCAAACCACACATCCCTTTCTGCATTCAGCAGGGCATATGTGATACTGAAAGTGAAACAGGAGTATTCACTCACTTAAAATTCTGATGTGCAGCCTGGTATTACTGCATGGGATCAGAACAAATGTCTCACAGCACAGACAGAGGCTGCTGATAGAAGTGAAAGGTCACAGCACCAAATACAGATCAACTCAGTTCCCCATTTCAGTCTTTACACTTGTGGGAGAACTTGCAGGAGATTGAGATCACACAAAGAATATTATATGCTCTGGGAAAAACTGAAGAGTTGGTCTCTTCCTCAAGTTTCAACATTTTAACAAAGAATATAGGAGGATAATTGCAAATTTTAAGACAGATTTGATAAAGTAACTCTGGGAATTCATTCCTTGAAGAGGGGCTTAACCTTAAACCAAACAGCAAGAAGAGATGGAGCAGAAAAATGTGTATGGGTGAGATATAATTGCCAAATACTTTAAAGTATAACTTGGGTACAGAGTTAGGTTGGAGTTAAGCTGAGAAAAGAAACTAACTAAAAATAATTGCCTTGAATGTCACAGCCATCAGAACTGCAAGTAGTAAATTATCAAGAACTTTTGGACATGACTTTTTCCACTGCAAAAACAAACTGGAAACAGCTTTCAGGAGAAGAACAGTTTTAAAAATGTCATGACCAGAAATGCTGGTTTTTTTTGTTTTTTCAAGTATTTGCGATTTTACTTTGGCAGTTTCAGATTGAAATATTTTGGTTCTTGAAAGAAAATAATTTTTGTTTAAAAATTTTAAGTTACAGAAATTAAAAATCAGAATTAATATCCAAAATAAAATGTTAAAACAGAACAAATTTAGAAGTGAATCTATTAACTGACTTGTTAACAGAGATGTTGATTTTTGGTTTCATGTAGCTGAAAATTGTAAACATCTTTTAGTAGTAATTCTCTTGTGATAAGAAATCCATGTTTTATCCAATTGAAATGTGTAGTACAGAATTAGAGAGAATGCACAGAGATCTTTAGAACTGCTCAGAATTATAGTGATATGTTATGTCCCTAAGCAGCTACTGAAGAACTGTGTGGGAATTTGTACTCTCCCTGCCTCAGCCATGGTGTTTAACCTGTATCTTGTATGCATGGAAATGGGTTTAAATTTCATTGCAACCTGTTTGCAAGTCCTGTTAGGTGAATATTGTTGAAGTTGACAAATTATCTATGTAATTTTAGAAAATAAAAACCATAAGAATAAAACCCATAAAAGTAAAATATGTCAAAGCATACATTTCCATGCATACAAGAAAGCAGAGAGAGAAGCTGAGAGAAGAGTTTTCATAAATGAATTAAACTGAGATTAAGGACACAATTTTAATCTGAACTAAAACAATTAATCCTTGTCTGTTGTATTCAACTGAAACCAGCAGTTACACAGATGTGGAATGTGGCTCAATCTGCTTTATAATCTAAGACATCAATATCTATAGTGTGTCTGAAGAAAGGGAAGAAATAGAAGAAAGCAAACTGAATGTTCCCTGCAGAGCTCAGCCCTCTGGGGGCTCTCCCAAGCTCATAATTCCAGAGGTGCACAGCTCCAGCTGCAGATGATGTGGCCCAAGCAATCAGGTAAACTGGGGCACTCCAGCACTATTGGCAGCAATGTGAAACACAATTTTCTCTTTTACTTTCTCTCTCCTGTCTGCTACCACACCTGGTTTTATTTCTGCAGGATTATTGCACAACATTTTCTAGTGCATAAAACACTTCTTAGCAACACTGGGGATATTTCCATGGTTATCAGTGCAGTAACATATCATTGAATGAGGGGTTTAAACAGTAAAATACCCTTCCTTTCTAGAGTGACTAAGATATATGAAACAATATAAAAAAAAAAGCATTACAGGGCATCATCTTTCATACCGTCTACATCTTATCAACAGATCTTCCTCTTCTCCCTCTCTGCCAGTGATCCTCCTCCAGACAGAAAAGCCAATCCCAAGCCAGCCTCTCCTTTTCCTCCCTCATACTCCTCCAGTTTTCTATTTGAGAAAAAGTTTTTCTCAGTCTTCTATATTCAGAATTTATATCTCCACAGAAAGATATAAATCTTTCTAATTTCTGAGGGTGATCTAATTTCACCCTCAGTGACTGAGAATCCATGACAATAACTATGGCACATGCTGAGTGACACAGTGTTTTGAATACATCTGAAACAAAACAAAGAAATCCCCAACAAACCAGGCAAAAAAATCAATCCTGCACAAAAACTGATAATGAATTAATTTCCTAAAGCTTATGAAAAGCAGCATTGCCATGCCTAGAGATGTTTTTACAGTAGGGATAGTTTTACCTGCCCCAATGACTCTTTCAATACGAATTCTTGAAGGATCAATCTCCTTGGCAAACTCATGGACAGCAAGAGATGGATCTTCGTAAGTGTCTGGATCTATGTATGTTTTGAGTCCTGGGAAATGTACTGCAAGAAAGAGAGAACAAGAGGAATCAGGAATCTTGACATTCATGCATTGCAACAATAGTTTGCTTTTCTTTTTTATTTTTTGACTAGATAATTGAAAGGACTGAAAATAATATCTTCCAGGTTTAAAATTTCAGAAGCCAACAGAAGAAGCTGGTCACTTGAAAAAGGCTCTGCAGAGACACCAAGTGAGGGCTCAATGATATGGGGAAAAGCATGGCCTCAAACAGTGATTATTGCCAAAACAGTTTATCTTCCCCTTTGCTGCTCCTTGGGCAATTGAGGCAATCTGTCCTTTGCTTTGAAAACAGTTGTTTCTAGTTCTCCCCTTTCATTTAGGAGTAGATGGCTGAACATCCTGTTTTGCCAAGCAGGTCGAATCTTTGAGTTCCTTTTCTCTAAGGATGAGTCCTGGAGGGCTGTGCTGCTTTGTTCTCTTCTGATCAGCTGGAACAGACAAGAGAGCCAGGTGCAAGATGACAACAAAAATATCCAAATCCATTTTCAAGATAATTTTTGTCTGTTTCCTTGGAGATGGCCATGGCAGTGGTGGGTTGGTGCCAGATTGCTTTGGCAGGCTCCAACAAGCTGTCATTTTCTGGCATGGCTGATATCCCTTGTGTTCCTGAGCGTAGCATGTTCAAGAACTTGTGTTGTTTCTTCTGGACTATTTGTGTGGGAATTCTTTTAGGCTGCTGCCATATTGTGATTAAGTTCTGGAAAACTCAAGTTGATGCTAATAATCCATCAATTTATAAGGACAAAGAGAGGCATCTGCAGCTGGGTCCAGAGAATCGCTTTAAAAAGAATGAAGCATTTCTCACCCTTCTTTCTCCTGTCAGTTAACAGGTGAGCCTAAAACAGCAATTCCTCTTTATTCTTGGTTCTGTGGAGCACATATATGAGTAGAGACTTGCCCCCTCCAGTGAGATGCTGAGATCACTACAAATGAATGGGAAGGCTCTGAGATGAAGTTTTGTGTCAACATGAAATACAGTCATCATTTACCCTGGCCTGAAAGACACTGAGTGAGGCTTTTTTCAAATTCAGTCACGGTCTCAGAAGCATATATCAAACTGTCCAGGAGGAGGGTTTTTGTCTTACTTTATTTCTGGCCATGCTTGGAAACAAATGACAAAACCATCTTTCTAGGCAGTATACTTTATGGGCAAATGTGCCCTCTTCCTTGACAGAAAGAGACACTTGGCTCGATATAGTGATGGCACCTGGAAAAATATTTTACTTCTGGTAACTTCTGTGTTGATCATAGCATTTCCAGAGATGTTATCAAAATGATGAAAGAATAAAATCTGATACCCTTTGCGCAATACCCTTTGAATAAAAAAAAATACATTTAAATTGTTACTCTAACAGGAAACAGTGAAGCAACTAATTTAAAGTAGGTAGCTAAACTAATCTATATAAACTAATTATTGCCCATGAGAGATCACCAGGATTTTCTCTCACTGTACTGATCAGTGAGCAGGAACATGAGGGAAGACAACCCATTCCACTTCTTATTTCTTGGGTGGCTGGAAGTGTAGATCCCTAAATCCAAAGAGAACTAGTAACAAATAAGCCATACAGTCACCAGGAGAGGAATTTTGAGGCAGAAATCCAATACCCAGAACAACTGAGAATTCAAAGAAATAAACCTGAAAACCTGCTAAATATTATTAGCTGAATACCAAAAAACCCTTTAATAATACATTTAATAAGAATAGATTTAGTGAAATTGCAAACAAAAATAAAGACCATTGATAATGCAGACAATAAGGAACTACTCAAATAACCAGATTAAAACACCAAGGGCAAAAGCTGTTCAGGAAACAGTGGGCTTTCTTCATTTAAAACATGATATAGATATTATATACTGTTGAACTACTTACAGTGTCCATTTTGCAAATGAGCCCTTCTTTTCTCCTCAGATTTCATTTTGGCCTTTATGTACCACTGGCATCTTTCAAGAAAAACAAGTGAAGTTTTAAATAAAATACTTGCCATGAATAAAACAGATGTACACTGAGTTTTATCTGCAATTTTATGAAAGCTAAGTTCTTTGCCTTTGGAAATATATTTACTTATGAATCTAAAGAGGGAAATATGCATGATGAAATACAAATAGATTATAAACAAAGAAAAACAAATCATGGTTGAATGATTAGCATGACAATGACCATCTGAGTTTAAGTTTGATGTAATACTTTTTTTTATGTTTGACTCCTCCAAGGAATTCTGATACTTCAATAAATTATTACTTTCCTGTGTTCCTGTTTGCATACATAGACCTGTAGTAATTAAACCTTATCCCACTAACTTTCATATACAGTGGGTAAAATACTCTCTCATTTTCTTCATACAGAATTATAATGACTTCCCCATGTTTCATGAGAAAAGAAAATATTTTTTCACATCAGGACCCCTTTTTTCTCTTTTGCTGAGTGGCTCTGTGTAGTTTGAGCTGCTGAACACTGCCTACCTGCAGGTCTGATAATGCTGATTTAGGAGGTCATAGGCAGGACCAACTGTTTCAGTCAAGAAAAAACAAAATATTTTCTCTTGGTCTTAAAGCTCTTTCTCACTCACTGAGCAGCCTAAAAATTACTGTTTAGAGGGAAATCTTTTGGTTTAAGGGATAGCAAAGGGTTGTTGAGGCTCTGATGCCCGTGGAGAACAGCAGTGCTGGTGGATGTGAACATTAACAGCATTCCTCTGTGTGAACATTAACAGCATTATAAAGTTAAACAAAAACAATCACAATCAGTCAATCTGTTTTAAGAGTGAAGATCTTGGAGGAATAGGTGAACACACCCACCTCATTTCAATGGTTTGTTTAAGCTGCTAAAACACAGCAGGAACAGTCACAAGTTCATTCACTGCTACACAGGTGATGAGGAGGAATTTAAGGGCAGAAACTCCCAAAGCTGATGTGCCCTTGTGGGGGAATGCAAACCAGTGGATTCTCAGACCCTGTGGAAACCTTGAGATTGAACACCAGTTGCTGGGACCCCCTAAGGATGCCAGTGCCATTTTTAGGACCTGAACAAGTGGTCTGTAGGGTGCCACCTGTCCCGAGCCCTAAACACAAGCTCTTACACTGCAAGTGCTTGCCCAAGGGGACAGGCAAAGAAACAAGACTTCAAATTCACCCAATCCTCCTAAACTTCCATGTGGCCCCAAAGTTTGACTACAGAAGCCAGTGATTAACCACCAGTGGAGGAGTCTCCTCATTCTCTGCTCATGCTGGCTGCAGAACAATGGGAGATAAGGCTAAATCAGATTGAGCTTTAACATCCCATGTCCTGAAACTGAGCCAGGACCCCAGTCCTGTGTGTTGAAGCCTCTGTTGCTTCCATATTCCTCTCTGCAATTGACAGCCCTGCTTCCTGCTTGCTCCTGGTGGATAATGACCCAGCAGAGTGCAGAGGCAGGTGCTCATTTCACCCAGCCTCTCCACTCTGAATAGGCTCATCAGCAGCCCTGAGACTCGACAGCTCATCAAATTGGTAATTCTAAACAGCGAGCAGAGCACATCTGTAGGGTACCAGTGCCATTTTTCATGCTGAAATTTGCCTCCAGTCCTAGAGTAAATGGAGTATTTATTCAAAATCTCCTTGCTCTGTCTTCTGTGGAACATGCTCTTATCACTGCATTTAAGCAGCACTTCAAAATGAATTCCTATCTTACATAATTGAAATGGTCCCATTGAGTAAGGCAGTAGAAAGGTAAGAGAATCTCTGATGTTCTTAACTGTAGAAAACAGGAGGAAGAAACAGAAAGAAACCCATTTCCATATTTTTTTTTCATTCCCAAGTTTAGTGATTTTTTTTCTAAAGGAAGTGTTTGAGTTCTTTCAGGATTTCACATATGGATTCCACACAATCATTTTCTCTGGAAATTTGTCTCTGTCTAAATAATTCCTCTTTCTTCTAAAAGATCCTACTGCTTGTTACCTTCTGTAGTAATTGCAGGAATATTTACTCTGCCTCTAAGATTATCTAAGGCCACAATATGTTCCAAGGTTAACTGCTCTCATTACCTTGACCAGAATATTAGATTTAACTGGTTTTATTATTTAGAAAGGAGAGCATTAATTCACATAACTACAGCTACTGCAGTGCCATATTTAGGGTATTGCAAAAAAAACCTCTGGCCTGCACTGATAGAACTTCAACTTTGAAAACTTTGTTTTCAAACTAGAGGTGATGCTATACCAACAAAACAGATGTGTAATTACACATCTAAAAGTGCAGCACCCTCTGTTAATATCTGAGCAGTGCACTCCCTAAAGTTTTGCAATTGATAGTTATGAGATTTTGTAAAATACACTGTGAGGATTTTTTCCTTCTTTTTCTCCTTCTTTTTTTTTTTTTCTTTTCCATGTAATGTCAGAGCCTTGAGGGCGCAGCAGGTACACTGCATTTTTAAATGAACACTCTGAAGGCAAGAGGTCCAGAAACTTATTTCTAAATACCCATACCACTTCTTGATTTCACATAATTTCTTATCTTCCCAAACTGTGTCTTTATGAAAAACCACACTTACAAAAGAACTGGATGGCTAGTGCTGAACAAAGAGGATATTCCACCTTGTCTAACCCTAATTTTAGCTCTGAAAATGTGGTTTAATGACTTGAATATTATTCTTAAATTCTTAATTTTAGATGGGACTATATGAGAACAGTGTTTTCATTACCTGCCAGTGATGAGGAAGAACAAGGTGAGGATGACCAGCAGAGTGAATCCACCCACAGCAGCAGTGGCAATTACAAGAATCTGTCCCTGCTCTGCAGCCATATCCGAAGCTGAAAGAGAAGCAGAGAGAAAAGGGGGTTGATGCTCCATCTATCACCCAGGGATTTTGGAGAATGGCTGAAATAATTTCAATGGTCAAATGTTGCAATTTGTTTTTAATGTTTTCCTCAGTGTTCAGCAAGGGCATCAAATGCAAATGTGTCTGTGAAGTGAGAAACCATAATCCATATCCCAACTAGGATGGGGGGAGAAGATGTTTGCAGGTTTCTAAAAGGAGGATTTGTCATTATCAGACACTTGCAATTTACTAAAATTTTAACATGACAGGATTTTGGACATAAAATTGTATTTTCTTCCTTAGCTTTATCTTAATCCTGCACCTAATTCAGAAGCTCTCTCCATCCCCCTGTCCCAGTGAAGTGCTGGGTATGTGAAGATACTAAATTGGGTTCAGGAGAAAGGAAAAGCAAAACCCCCACACCTAATTTGTAGCTTCACACATTCTTCAGCATGTCTGCTGTTCAGTTTCATTATCACAAAATACATATAGTTTATCATAACATGCTTTGGTGATTAGCAACACTGTAGTTGACAAAAAAAAATTCTTATGCCTCTTGTTTTTCTCTCTACATTTTGTAGGAGGTTTAGGAGCTAAAAAAGATCACATGAAATTATCCAGTTGCTGGAGACTTCCTAATTTTGTTTATTTACTGTGTACAATATTAAACTTTTACATTGAGTATTTACCTACTTATAGTCCAGGTGGTCTTCACTGTCCAAATACTACATCAGCAGAAAAAAAATTAGGCTCATTCTTTTTCTCTGTCTCCTGTCTTGTGACTCCAAAGTTTTATTTGTTAAACTCTGTTCCACTTGAACATTTACACCACATGACATTTACCCAATTCTTACTATTTCCATGGGAAATAAAACATTGTATTGAAAGAAGAACAAATAATTCAATTCAATGACTTCTGAAAACAGGAGTAAATACAGAAAAGGGAATAATTTTTACATCAGGGAAGCAACTTTGATTTGCTAAACTTGCAAACTGTTCAATAAGCAAATCTTCAGCTTTCTTTAGGCATCAGGTGATTAAAGCTTAGGGAAATCACCCAGGCTGCTGTCTAGAAAGCTCAGCAGGTGATATTCTCTCACTTTGCAGCTGATGCAGCTCAATGCAATGCACACATTGCTACCCAAAGCCTCATAAAACACTGTTTCCTAGAAAAGCATTTGGCTTCTGAACAAGATTTATGTGTGGCTTAAAAACTCGTGGTGTAAACTGGCTTTGTAAGAGTAATTTTCAGCAAAACAAACTTTTTAGGTTTGTGCCATTAGCTTTCTGTCCAAATAATTTGAGGGAAGCATGCACAGGCAGTAAATTACAAGGGATTCAGTGGCCAGACAAGTTAAATATACACATCTTCCAAGAAATGATGGAGCAAATATTGACTGAACAGTTAAATGATATCTAGTGATGTTCTGGCAGTGGATTCCAGCTCTGTGATACCTTCCACAGGCTCAGGTTTAGTTGGAGAAATGCAACATAACAAATATCATGCCACACAAGTAATAATGCCAATGCTGAATACAATTTTCAGACTAGTGGGGGTTGTGCTAAATCTGGCAAAGATTATTAAAGTCAGGCAAGGTTTGAAGTTGTGCATGGAGAAGGTTTCAGAGGAGTCTTTGCTGCCCATCTCTGAAGTGGAGAGGACAAACTACAGCTCTCCTTTTGTTTTTAATAGGAAGAAGATGTGTGCAAAAACAGTGAATTTGGTAGGAGGAAAGCAAAACACAAGCACAAAATTAACAGCAAAATTTGTCAAAAGACAAATTAACTGTGATTTTTATCAACAGACATTCACTGCCAAAGCAACAACCCAGGAACCTTCCTGGTGCAAATGTAGGGGCTGATTCCATCGCCCAAAGAAGCACCTGCAGCTACCAAGTTGAAGATGTGTCCTGGGTAATTTTTGGATGGAGCTGCTCTTTTTTTGTGTTCTAGTTAAAACAGAATCCAATCCACCATTTAATAACATACATTTTTCTATGAGGAACCAAAGTCACGTTAATGAAGGGGAGAAATTCAGACTGATTTATGTTCTTTCTGCCTGTAAACAATACAGATTTTTAGCTGAGACTGTACCTACTTGAAAAGTGATAATTCTGTTTATCTTGTTTGTATTTTACAGAGTTGAAGACATGAGGATTTTTTTTTTCATGTAGTTAAATCACTACAAGGAGTTTTCAAGCCTGAAACTTCCAGATGACCTTAATTTACCTGTCAGATAAAAATGTCAAATGACAGACAAGAATAATTGGAAAATGTGAATTTGTTAAAAACTGACAGAGAGGCTGGTAAGGCAAAATGATGGAAATATTTGTACACAGACTTATCACATACAGGTAAAAGGTTCCACAAAAAACTATTTAGGCATTGAGAAGACAGTAATCAGAGACTCTCAATACCTAGAATTTTTACAGCATTTTACCATTCTAAATTAAATTCTATGTGTCTCTCAGCCTCTCTGCTCTTTTCTCATTTCTCCAGCTTTGTCTTATGGTGAAGTTGTAAATACTAAGAGCATTATTTGTTTCTGTTGTGCATGTTCTTAAATATTTTTTGTCACTTCCTGGTTTTCCTTTCTTATTTTTTTCTGTGTATATTGGTCTATGACCCTGTGTTTCTCCTCAGAACTTCTGGATTATACAAGACAGAAAAACAAAAAAAGAAATGAGTTCCTGCAACCTCATTTCATATCTTTGTGTGTACACAGAGTGCTGCATCTAATCACAGAAGTACACAGCATTTTTTTCCAGAATCTCATGTTGGACAATATGGCCAGCATTCCTATAGCTAAAATCAATATTTTGTTGTCTCTGCACTGTCCAGGGCACCTGAACTTTATCATAAACCATGAGCAGAGCTAAGGCAGCTCAGCACCCCTCTAACTGGGCTGACTGCTTAGTCTGGTTCTATTTTGTCTACCTGTCTGCTAAGTGAGTTCACTTGGACAGAAAACACCTAAAAATTGAGTAGTTAATACAAGGAAAAGGGAGAATTTATGACTTATGCAAGATGTTTCAGTAGTATACTGCAATGTTTGGGTGGCATAACTCTTCAAGCACATTTCACCTGCTACTGATGTGATAAGTCCAAGTGATTTTAAATCTACAGCATGGATTATATTATGCACCCAGTAGCTTATATCCAGATAAACTCCTCACTGCCATTGCTCTCCATGCTTAACTCATGCTATATGCCTGAAATGATGCTTGAAGTTTGTAATTGCATTGTTTCAGCTTCCTTGCTCAACACCATGCCCAGAAATCCCCTCTGCATCCAGCCTGGTGTCAGTTCTGCCCCTACAATTCACTCTTTACATCCATGCCCCGTCTCATCTTCTCTCTACCTTCTTTATCCAAATGTAAGGAGGAGGAGCTGCAGCTTCCCTCCCCTCTGGGCTGAAGGGAAATACCCTGAGGCTTCCTCTTTTCCTCACTGGGCACACTGGAAGAAATAGTGCACATGTTTTAGTCCCAGTGCAAGAGGCTGAAAACCAGAGAGAATCTTTCAGCTCTGCTCCTTCTTTGAGCACATTTCTCCAAAACATTTTACAAGTTGGTGTATTTGGTATGAAAGAGCTGGAAGCCCTAATGACAGCTCACTTCTGTCTCCCAGCTACATCCCTTGGCTACTTCAATTTGACATCAATCAGGCATCAGACCCTCCAGCAGACTGGAAGATAAAAAAGTGACAGAAAGACAGCCAGACTGATAACAGTGAGCAGCTGTAAGACAGATAAGTGTGGACAGTGAGTGCTGGAGCTCTAACAGACAGGAACAGGCTGTCAGGGGGATTTACAAGGCACTGTAAACAACAGTGCTTAAGAACAATAGGTAAGAAAAATATAAATTCTCATTAGGGCAACCTTTACATTTTCACAAGTGCAAATGTATTTCCTGTGCAGTTCCTGTGATACAGTGAGCTGATGGGCTTCAGTCAAAGGCACAATGAGAAGGCAAAGGTGAACTTAAAAGGGACTCTCAGTAGCATAAGAATGTAAAACTTTTTGGTGCCTATCCACTTGAAATACTTCTTCAAAGTGTTTTCCCCTAATATCCTTCCTGGCCAGTGGATACATGGAAAGCCTGTGCAGCCAGTTTGAGATCTGAATGAGGATGTTGTTCTTGTTTAGGAAATGCAGAGGAGAAGTGAAGTCTGGGTTTTCTGGAGACATGCAGCGTTGCAATCAGATTTGATTCCCAAAATCAAATGTGAAGAAAAAATGGCTAAAAGTATTAAACACACCAAGGAAATAATTAAAGACTAAATGAGACATTCTTTGGTATCCAGAGCTGACTAATACTGAACGAACAGTAGGATTTGGCAGAGGTGGGGAGACATCTAACAAGAAGTTTCTAAATATGAGATATGTGTCATCTGATTTGTTTTGTTTCAATAAGGAATTCAATTTACTATTGTCAAAACATTAAAAATCATAAAAAAACCAGGAAAACTCAATTTTGCATTGGTAATACTATAGATTTTTCTAAAAATCCTTAGGATAGTTTCTCTGTCATGGCATGAACCAGGGCATGTGCTTAAACCTGCACTGGAATCAATGATTCAGGACCCTTTTCTTGGGCTTTGGAGTTCTGGAAAGAATGGAGTCACATCAAGTGGCAAACCCAAAATAGCTTGATTTGAGGATGAAAAGTTAGAGATAGATTTTTTGGATATAGGAAGAGGGAGAAGAATGTGAAAATTCAGCAGAATTTTCTGGCAATACACAAAAATCACCACCTGAGACTATGGTAAAGAAATTAAAGTTATTGATCCATCAAGACTGCAGTTTCAGCCAATTATTTTTTCACAGTCTTCAACTTTATAAAACACCTAATCAGGTATTCCATTAGCATTTCTGAAATGTATTGTTAATAATTTAAAGTATACAGGGTCTGCATTGCTTTTGAATTAAATATCCTAATGTGCTCACTTTTTTTACTCTGTTCAGCCCAAGCACAAGTACACAGTGCATAAATGCTACTTTGTCCCTTAGGTCCCTTTCAGAACAAGCCAACCATTCCACTTGCAGATTATTTTTTCCTAATGATGAGAAGGCCAAGAAGGAAAATAGCTTGATTTTAGAACAAGCCCTGCTTAGGCATGAAAACTACCTAAAAGCTGTAAATTGTCCAATATTTTAAAAATTCCTCTGTGCAAAAGGACCTCTGAGGTAATGTAAATAAAAAACTTCTCCTGAAAAAAAAAGGTTTGAATCACTAATTTTAAAAAAGAACCCAACAAAACCAATCAACCAAAAAAGGTATTCCAAAACCAGCTGGTTAGAAGAGAGGGGAAAAAAAACCCCAGAGTGGTTACAGGCAGAGATTAAAGCATCTCTGCCCTAGGAAAAATGTTTTTCTTAATTGTCAGAACATATTTCATTCTCTGTTAGGAAGAAGCAGAGTGTTTCTGTGGTGATTCAGATAGCTGGTAATTCTGACAGATAAAAGCAGGAGCTACAAGTGAGGTTTGCGCTCCAATTTAAACCCCGGCAGTGGCAGCTGTGTGTGTGCTGGAGTGCATGAATACCTGCCAGCTTTGCTACGAGTGCTTTGCCTGTAAGGTGCTGAAACAGAGACTGAATAAAATGGCAACAAGAAACAAAGTCACAAGTGGTGGCTGCTGTGCTTTGGAAAGGTTTCACATTTCCCAGGTGCAGTTCTGGGCTTTAAAAAGGGGAGAAATGCCTGTTAGCATCCATTCATGCATTCCTGCTTCCTTGAGGAGAATCTTTCTGACTATCCTAGGTAGCTCAATTTCCTATCAAAAAGAAAACACAAATTTCACTCTTTTGGATGCTCCACTTGTTTGTCTTTGCAGCAGGGAGAAGAGTTCACAGCAGAGCTCCCCAGGCTGTGGCTGCCTCAGTCTGTGGGTCAGTAAGTGAGGGTGCTTCCCAAAAACCACATCAGCATTAACAACTAACTACTTCCACTACTACTGCAGATTTTCCCTTCTCTCTCCTCATGCACCACCTTTAGCAATCCCACCAAAATGTTTTAGTGTTCCTGGTGATGATGTAGCTATTTTACCCTTTATAACTTTATAACTGAAGTGACCCAGGTAGTGTTTCACCCAGGACACTGTCCTGCCAAAAGACAATGTGTTTTAGGACATTGACATACACATCTCAGAGCTGATGGATCATTAATTTTCTATAATTAGGCTATTAAAGAAAAAACTTAATTTTTGATTGTTTGCTTTAGCAACATCTATTAACAGATTCTGTCAACATTCAAGCAGAGTAAATGGAATAACCTTGGACGTTTACCTGCAACTGGTCTGGGAATTCTTCTCCACTGTAACATGTCCAATTGGCAGGGAGCTGTTACAATCTAAGGTTGATTAAAGAGGATTTCTATCAAACACAGGATTCAAAATATTTTTTGTTATTTTCATGAGACTGCTGGTTGATAAATTCTCTTTTCATAACACAGACTTTTAAATCACTCTATTCTTCCCAGCCTTCTCATGAAAGTGCTACTTTTGAGTTAATTCAAATATAATTCAAAGTCCACAAAAAGTAATTGCTAAAGTGGAATTTTCACCAAGTGACTTGTTTCTAGTGAGGAGGGTTGGAAAGAGTTTCAATAGACTGCCTTGGCCTAATACTATTTGCTTTCTTTCAGAAAAATTGAGAAAAATGTATATTAAAAAAATGAGAAAATTTTCAGCTGAGCTGCCCACTGCCAGAACAGTAAATGATGAAGAGAGATTCCTACACAGCTGGAGTAGAACTGGTTTGTAAGACAGATGCAGGCCAGCAAGGGTAACTTAATATTTATGGGTAGTGACAGAACCAAGCAGCCCAAATCTCAACACAACTCTCCCAAATCTCTCTGTGTAAATGCTACTCAGTATCTTGAAATACTGACAAAACCATGGCTGTATTCTATTTATTCAGCTATGTGAAACCAGGCACTAGTTTAGGCAGCAAATGCTTAGACATAGAAGTAAAAGAAATCAGAATTTTTGAGAGATAAACTGTGTTTGGTCTGTTCATGGCATCATAAACAGATTTATTTTTCTAGTTTATTTCAGTATCAGGTTCAGCTTTGATGTTATACTCAAAAAGGATGTTAAAATTAAGCTTACCATGAAGCCAGCTACATCAGTGCACTGAGAAGGAGAGATGGGGCCAGGATGGAGTAAGGGGAATGTCACTCCCAGGAGATTCCCTCAATACCAATGAGAGACATGTCACTGGAGCCAGTTTTCCTGATTTAGATGGGCAAGTGAAATTTTCACAATGCGAATCCTCACAGAGGTTTAAATACTATTTTCTTTTTACATGAATTAAGCCCTGTATTTATTGCACCAGAAGATACAGACAAGATCTACTGAAATTCTTGAAAGCACCCAAGTGCTCAACTCCTATTCAAACCAATTGGCTTAAGTACCCAGCAAATTTTAAAAAGTCCAATTAGGCATTAAGCACTTGGAAATCTATCCCTGATTGATTTTTGAAATAGAAGTTAAGAAGCAATAAAAATGGAACACAAATCCCTGGGTGCTCTTAGAAGCACTTATATAGTTCTGAGTCTGTACATTAGCTTAAACAACTTGAATTCTAAAACACTAATGAAAAACATGGTATACGTAATTGGCTAATTAAAGTAATTTAATTAATGAGTGTTTTTATGTTGCATCTACTACACTAATTTCCTCTCAAATACATGTAAATACCTTTTTCTATGTTTCTTTGAACATGAAGGGCAACACATGACAAATACAAAATTGTTCAGAGCATGAACATCACACATGAAGCCTTTTTACATATTTTGTAGGAACAGGAAGGTTTCTTGCTTCTTAGTGCCAAATTTAGTAGGTTTACTGGTTGGTGGAAATGCATATACAAGTTTCCAGGTTTTTTTTGTGGAGTCTGGGAGCACTGACAACTGCAGGGTGAAGAGTTCCTCACTGGGAGCTTGCGTGAAGCTGCTGGACTTAGGGAAAGCCTGGCTAAGGGTATTTCTAGATGTCAAGAGGCAAGACTTCTGTAAGGAAAGAAAGGATCAGAGAATCCTAGAGCATCTTAGCTTGGAGGGACCCACAAAGAAATTTTATGGAAGAGAACATTCCTTCAGCTGCAGCATTGGGCTAACATTTCTATGTGTTGTAAATTCAGAACTGTGAGTCTGGGGCTTGTTTTTTATCACATAGCACTGGTCATTTTGTGATAAACAAATGGTATGGGTTGAGCCATTCAAACTCCCCATATCTCATTGGTTTAGAATTAGATGCTACTTCTGTTGTATTTATTTTTTTTTCCCTTCAGTGAAACTTACTTTCATCTCCAGTTTCAAATTCAAACTTCTGGCTATAGCCGCTGTATCCTGCTGCCGTCCTGACTCTGATATGAAATATGTACTTGGTGGCTGGCTTGAGACCTGTGATGATAACACTTGGAGCCTTGGACCTTGTGGAGGAATAGCTGAGCTGTTCATGCTCCTGAGGGACAAAAGAGGGAAGAAATGATATCAAGTTCAGTTGAACAATCTTTGCAAAAATGGTATAACAGAATTGAAGCTCCATATTCTTCTCATGAATGCAAAATGTGTTTATAAAAGGAGGTGCAGGTATGGATTTCTGTACTTTGGTTCTGTGCTATAGTCAGAATGTATGATATGGCCTTGACTTTTAGGTTTCAGGATTTTTTGTGTTTAACCCTGCATACAGACATGTTTTTGTGACTTGGGTTAGCAACCAACCCAACCATAGTCACACCAGCATGAATTACTACAAGACTACATTCACAGAAGAATGGCAACTAGAATGGAAGCTCATTATTTTTGCACAATGGACAAACTAGGAGGTCAGGAAACACTACCAAGCTGCAAAATAAAGATGTGGGAGTATTCAAATACCCGCTACTCACTTCTACCCGCAGGTAGTGCCAAAATGCCGGCGCTATCCGTGGGTAGACCTGTGGGTAAAAGAAAATAGGAATTAACTTTTTCTTTAAAGCCTGTCAACTTCGAGCATGGTTCAACTGCTTCACTGCTGCTGAGCTCAGTGTCTCTTTCCAGGTAGCAGTAATGTAGTCATACATGAAATTCACTTTGAAACACTATAAGGAGAAATACTCTGTGCAAACTCCCCTGTTAATCTCCTGGCAGTTGTTCCCAGGCAGCTGCTGGGAATTCCTGAGTCTCACGGAGATCCCTGAGAATTATGGGCTCTGGGAATTACCACTCCAGACCAGCTGCTCCAGTATGGAGACCAGAAACATCAATTTCTGTGCTTTAACCGAGTGCTGCTTTGCTGGATAGGTCTTGGATGATGCTTTTACATGAGAGGATGACTTGGAAGAAGAACATTTATTCCCTGTCATTAGTTACTTGATAAACCAGTAATCTGTTATATTTTATGTGCTGCCTTAAGGCTAGGTTTGCTCCCTTGGAGCAGGATTTGTCTCCAAACAGAGCAGGAATGTCCTTGGCATGTGCTTAACAGTCCAACTGTGACACCCACAGGGCACCATACAGGTTTATTATACCATGCAGCGATATTAGAGCAGTGCAAGTTATTCAAAGGGGACTTCCAGCCTGTTCAGAAGGAAATCTAGTTCACAGAAGAGATATAACCAGGAGAGGATTAGGTTTCAGTCAGATTCTGTTGGACTTTTAACCTCTTCTCAGCAATATGCATGCACTTTTTATACAAAAACAACAGTATTTATAAAACACTCTGAGTTAACTTCAGCCATGCGTAACAAATCACATCAGCACAGGGCAGCAGGTGGATCACTATCCCCCAGCAGCAATACAGGGAGATTGAGAAAACCAGATTAAAAAACAAACACACAGAAGCAGCCTCATGATTCTGTTAAGGGAAGGAGCAGGAAGAAGGCAACAATGATCAATATTAAAAATAACTGCATTTAACTTGCTCTTCAAACAGTGGAAATAATTTGAGAAAATACAGTAAGAGGAAGTATTGATTTTTTTCTACAATCTGTTACCAAAATTTGAAGCTGTGAGGAGCATGCATTTAAATTGAAATAGTAGGATAAAATGTACATGTAATCTTATGGGTGGAGACTATAATTAATACACCATCTAATTACTTCTTTAAATATAAGACTTCTCCCAATTACTTGAAATGTTTTAACTTCACTTTGAACAGATACAGTGGATTTTAGACATGCTTTAATGCATTTCAGAAAACACTTATTTTTTTCTGACAGAAAGCCTACTTGTTGGAGTGATAGGGTTTTTTTTTTTTTTTTTTTTCTGATTAAGTTTACATGACTTCCTGTTAAGAAAGGATCTTGGAAAGATTCACTGCACATTACGTAAACAGCAAAGGTTTGTTTTATACAGGTATTAGCATGATTCAGTCACGGCCCATAGAGGGGCAGTGACTTTACACTTTGGAATGCTCTGGAAATTTGTATTTAGATTCTGTAAGCTAAGGAAGAGACCAGCACCTAAGGGATTTCACTGTAACTATTACTATTGCAAGCTGTTTTATTTCCCTAGACTACCTTACTGCTTCAAAGCAAGTCCTACCATTTAAAAATGTACTGCTTCTTCTGACCTGCTAGAGAGATTGCAGAAAAAACTGATGGAATTGTAAAAAGCAATAGGGTCTTTAAGAGGAGGATGAAAAATGAATTAAAAAAAAAAAAAACAGTGGAGATTCCCCAAGATCCAATGACAAGATTTACTCCCTGAAGCCTGCAGAAAAAAGCCAGCAGCAGCAAAAACTGGGAATGACTTTTGGAAAAGAATCTGAGAAAGACTCTTTCTTCTCCACATAGTTTCTTTCCAAAATTGTTTCCAAAATGACTTTTGGAAAAAAACCCAATCAATTATATGTTATTACAGGCTAAGTGCTGCTTGTGTAAAACATTCATTTGGGATACACTGTCTGCATAGCCAGGGGTGTGGACAGGCAGGCAGCAAATATAATTCATTATTTGTAGTTGCTCAAAGACAATGAGTGTGACAAGGGCTGTGATGGTGACATTTAATCCACAAAATGGGTCCTTCAAGCTCCTGAGGGGCATCCATCACTGCCTGTCCCTTCTGGAAGGTATTTTGGCCACCTCCAGGGGTTGTCTGGCTTGTTGGTTCCTCACCACCTGCCTGGTTTTGCAGGAAGCCCTGAATGGTCCCTTCTTCATGCCCTCCCCTGTCCTTTCCTTCTGCAGCCTCTCATGCCATCCATCCCACAGACTGAAAAATGATGTCTGGGAGTGCACAACCTTAAAAGTAATGGTGCTGTCATGTGGGGAAGGGGGCAAGATTTGTTACTGCATGTGAAATAGTGGAAAGGGAACCTGTCACCTTGGTTTGAGAACAAGCTTCAGGAGCTTGAGGAAAAATTTGCTCAAACTCAAGACAAAATGATTCATAGCTGGAAACTTCCCAGGGCTGGAATGTTTTGCACAAAGAATTCAGCCTTTTAGGACTGGATTCATACAGAGAATTCTCCAAAGAGTGGATGCTTTGCCATTATTTTATTCTCTTGACAACTGATTTGCAGCCTACCTGGAAAGCCAGAGCTTTCCACAGAGATGCATGGAGGAGGCTCTCAAGGCTGGCCACTCCTTCTGCCATGATCTTTCCCAGGAAGGCTGAAGATGGACTCACAACAAAAAAAGTAATACAAAAAAACCAAACAAAAACAAAACAAAACAAAACAAAAATTCTAGTCTGCACAGAAGTATGGGATGCTTTGTATTATTCTTGCTATAGACCATATGCACTCACTTCTGCAGGGATTCTGTGTTCAAAAAGTCAATTTTAAATGGAAGGACTTAACTGTACTTCTTGGATGTTAGTGCATGCTTTTCCCAGATCCTGCTTTCAGGTTGTGGCAAAATACAGATATATATCAACCCACTTATCATGCACTCTACTTTCCATCTAAAGGAAACATGATTTTGTGTGCTAGGAGGATCTATCTCTAGATAGATTTCTGACCTAGACAGTGACAGGGCCAGAATCAAAGGGAAAGGCCACTACATTTATTCTGTACTTGATAACTACAGACTGCAAAATAAAACATGAGTTTAACTGATATGGCTGTACCTCCCACAGCACATAAAAGTAAGATAATATACAGTTGGCTACTATGCATGGTTCAGCATTCACAAAAAGAAAAGGGACACAAGAAATGCTCTCATGCTTTACATCAGTATCAGAGCAGCATTTGTGATCTTAAGGTGGCAAAGGACTCACAAGAAGCAGCTCTGAGAACACAGGGGCTGAGGGGTTAAACACGAGTACAAGGAGTCTATCTAATATAATATACTCCTATGAGACACAATCTGATATGAGGAAATTCATAAGACCTCTTCCATAGCCTACTGCAAATTTATCTTGGTGAAAATCTGTAATTAAAACATAAATATAACACAAATGCAAGCCATGCCAATGTTATTACAGAATGTAATACTAACTCTATGACTACCTATCCAAGTTAAACAGAATTATATTATGAAATTTGAAAATGCTATCTCTGTTTAAGGAAATTGTATTTTTCTTATTGTTTGTGTGATTCTTCTTGTAAATGGAGTCTGTTCTGATTATGAGGGACAGTGTTCACAAATCCTTGACAGTTTGCTCTGTGCATGAACAGGAAAACCTCTCAGAATCAAATTCTTTCCTGCAGCCACCTCTGCCCATCTGGATCTGTATCTATCCTGATTTTATACTTGGCTTTATAGATAAGGCATTTTTTTCATATCTAAAGAGACAGACTGGCTGAGTGGAAGGCACAATGGTGCTAATGGTCTAAGACTAGCCAACCTCATTTAATGGAGTAGAACCATCAGAGGATAAATATTAATGAAATGCATTCTGCAGTGCAGCAGAGTAGCAGTCAATATCCAGATGTTTTATTATTGTGATGATTAGCACCAGTTTTCTCATATACTTAAAAGAAAGGGGATTCCCCCAAAAACATTCACAATTTTAAATAAATAGATAAATATATTAAATAGATAAACTACCACATGCCACATCTGTGTGAAAAAATTGCTTTCTAATTTTATCCCCACCTTAGTACAGAGGAAAAGAGCACAGAAATGAAGATGTTGTGGACACATATAAGAAAAATATTAATAAATACTAACCAAAATGTGATGACCTTTTAATCACTTTAGACTCCTATAGCAATCAAAGAGTGCACACACTGATGTTATAGGTGAGAAAAAGATTATTTATCTCCAAATCTTTAGTGCAAAAAAATAAATCAATTAAAATTAAAGCTGAAATGCTGAATTTTGCTTGTAGTGCTGAAATTACCTTTAAAAGATTAACTTTACCAGTAAAGCACTGATAAAATCCTGGCACTTTCAGGCATCCAATATTTGTCACCATTAATATTTGAGTGGCTGAAAGAGACATGGCTCTAATAAAAATAGTATCAGTATTTAGTTTATCAATTTAAAAAGATAACCAAATATAATTTACTACGATTTAGAATATATAATCGGAGCTATACACTCTTATTCTAGCTTATTTTATGAATGACAATGGAGGTATTCAGCTCATTGAGTGTCACGAGTAACAAAAATCTTCTTAGACAGACCCTAGGGAAAGGGATTTCCACTTTCTGCCAGCTAAAGGAGACTTATTGTACCCACAGCTTTCAAGCGTGTGTGTGCAGAAAGAATCCAGGGACAGTAACTGAATTTACTATCAGCTGTTTGCAAACACATTTTCTAGTCTATATCTATTGTCCTGCAACATGAAAATTCTGTATTAAGCCACATAATCCTGCCTGGCCTTTTCAGAGCACTGTTATTTAACTGAAAGAAGAACTAATAGAGATTAAATCTATGTACCACGGGGGCCAGGTCTTTATGCTGTACACTGAAGCACAATGTCAAAGCTGAGTAAGTACCACATTAAAGTAAAGCAGATTTGGAGTTTCATGATTCAGGTGCTATAAATGTTTAAATAAAAGCGC